CTCTTGATATATCATTGTCGATTCAATTTTTGGAAAACTCAACAATTGGAGATATTCTTAATCAACTGATGGTTGAAGAATGGAGTAATTCAAGCATGTATGAAAACTATTACAATGAATGTCAACCATCCGGCTGTAGCTATACTGTTCCGTCGAAGAATAGTGCAATATACATTATTACAACTTTGATTGGATTAGTTGGTGGTTTAATTACGGTATTGAAACTGATTGTGCCATATTTGGTTAAGTTTATTATGTTTTTTATTAAAAAATGCAAACGTAGATCTGCTACAATAATGCCCATTGGTCAGGCATAATTAATGTTTACATTGACGCGAAACACATTACATATGAGAAGCTTCGACGTGGAAGGAAGACACTGAAACTATGATAACTTTTGATAGAAAGATTAGAGGATGATGCATATCATCTTCTTCATTTCGTTCATGTATATCTTCTCTTTGTATTCTATACACATATATTATTTCTATTGTGTTCACATTTCGAGATCTTTATTATTTATTTTCACATTTTTCAACTTCTGTTTTTTGCTCGTTTTATCATTTCTCTCATTGTTATCATTTCGTTATCTTTCTAGTTGCTTCAGTTTCTCTTTGTGATACTGCCTAGCCATTGTTCAGCTTTAAATTTGTTCGTATGCAATATATATAATGCTGATTTCTTTTTAATAAAAAGATCATTACACATCAATCATCACTTATATATCGACTTAGTCACTTGCAGTGCTTCCGACTTGTTATAAGGAGGACACGCTTACAAGAAAAAAGAGACAATTTAGGGTGTAGGTATGAGCTATGAAGAATATAATACTCACACTTCCATTCCCGGTTTAGAAATTTTATTTGAGCGTCAATTTTAGTTTCGGTGATGGTGTAGGTAAAGGTTGAGTACGGAATAAAGATCGATACCACACCCATATCCTCAATCCTCCCAAATAACGTCGAAAGTAAAAATGCCGAAGCGGAAAAAGTCGAAAGTATCCCAGGTGATTCAGTCCAATCTGTAGAACCCACGAGAAACTATTGTATTAGCTATCGGATCTTGTTATAAGTTGTCGGATCTCCAATGAAAACCGAGCGAAATCCAACTGAATTTTACAGGAATCCGATATAGCGCATTACGGATCGGATCACGTCGGAAAAAATCATTTCTACAATCTTATAATAAACTCTCTACGGTCATTCCTAGTGTGTAGATGTAGATTAAAAAGATTTTAAAATATAATTGAAATATTTAAAAAAAGACATGTGTATATAGATCGATCTCTGTAAAACAAAAAGATAAATGTAATCTGGGCAAAATCGGATTTCTAGATTTTATAGGAAATCCCTCAATTAAATTAACCCTAATGAATTAACTAATTAGAGAAGGAATCGAACTTTATTTATTGTTCATGATGAATTTGAGAAGATGGGAAACATAATAGTATAAAGAAAAGCAATCATTTACAGTAGAATAAATCACAAAGAGATTTTAAAATGTAGTTGAAATGTCTATATAATAATGTAGTAAATTTTAATGATCAATATCCAGATCATTCCAACATTCTAATCAATTAGATGAGTTGTTGATAACTGCATTATCATCTATATTAATATTTTCTATTTGATTTATATTGTCAAGATTATCTTGATATTTCAAAACATTTTCTACTATTTTCTTATTTAATAAACAATTCTTTTTTACATTTGTTGTTAATTTTGATTGTAACCTCATGTAAAGTGGAAATGAAGAAATAATATCAGGTAATCCATTATTATCTGACATTTGTTCGTAATGAAAGTTTACGTTTTTTCTTCCTATTTTCATAATATCTCACTGATCTTTTAGAATTTCTCTTTTCAACAAAATCAAGAGTTCGTTCGAGTTCAAAATTCATATTGAAAATAAGGATACAGTCTTTGAATAAAAAAAGATAATTGAAAAGTTAAAATGATTCCATTATATACTGATATGTTTATTTTTATATATTTAAACTAATTGAAAAACAAAACAAACTATTCAATATAGTAATAGAAATCTTGGTCTTTTCATCATGGGAACACATTCAAAATCTTCAAGTTTTATAGGAAGTATATCTTACAATCAGTGCACAATATACAGATGTCCCTAGATGAAACGAATGTAATGTGAAAAAGACCTGTTAAAATAGAAAACGTTTTTTCGCATCTCTTGTTAAAATTCAATACAAAGGCAACTGACTTTGATTTATTAAGAATTAGTAAAGAAATAATATGTCAAATTTTTAAATTGCACGTAAACAATCTATAAAAGTAGTGAAATATTTATATGAATATGACCCATACATAATCGACCAGATTTGTTTTATAAGAATCAATGTACAATTCATCATAAATTCTCCTAAAATAGTTTTCACAAAAATCGTTTTCATTTTAATAGCTTTTAAACTATTTTAACCAATTATTAAGAATATTCAACTAAAATCAATTTCTAATAATCAATGATAATTCAATCATATTTTCTTACTTTTTTTTCACGCGACGACAATGCTTTTACCAATGGGGAACAAAGTGAGTTCTATCAACTTAAAATAATTTGAAATTAATGAAATCATTGGAAATTATGAAAGGTTATGAAACTAAGAAATTAGTTGTCCCCCTTCATCAGTACGCAAAACTTTAATTCATTTTAAACGCTACCTTTTTTTGTCTCACTTCAGTTGTTTAATATGGAAGCAATTATTGTCTTAATATACGACAGCTATTTTGTAATTACTTATACTTGATAGTTGCTTTTATCGTTGATACAGATATTGCTATGCCATTCATTCAATTCGATTTTGTTCAATAAAACATAACAGAACGCCTTAGTAATTCAACTATCGAATACTATTTCTTTTACAGATCGCTAGCCACTTCGATGAATCCCATACGTAGTCTTCTGATTATTTATTGGATACCACAGAATCGTATATGGTCAACCTGGATAAAGAAAAATCATTTTTAATTATCAACTAACATATTCAATACAATAACAAGCTAAATAAAATAAAGAAACAAAACAAAAGTTCACCCAATTATTTTATCTGCTATCAACTTCTTTTTATATCATAGAATTATTATCAAAATTTTGATCAAATGTTTCTACTGCATTCATTCATTTATATTTAATTCATTTGAAAAAACCAGAATACCATTATCATTCGTAATCTACAAAATATAAAAAAATATGATATTTAAATGAAAAAGAAGAACGCTTCAGTCACTCAAAAATCATTTGTAACATAACTAAAAATTGTTCCTAATCGTCGGTGTAACTTTGTATCATCACTTTTGTGTACTTTTGCTATAGAAAAAAAAAGTGAATTAGATAAAATATAAGATATAATCAATTTCATGCAGTGGTTGTTCAGATAATCTTTATCGTTTTTTAGTCGATGACATTGATTTTCAATTTGAGCTAAAATCTAAAATTAAATATAAGTATTTATCGTTATATAAAAATAACTTTAATCGATAAGCAAACTTCTTCATCAGCAATATAAAGTTTTTCATCATTATTAATTTGTTCCTCGGATGATAGTGACGGTCCACTATAAAATTTGTTAATGATGTTTTACTATTTGTTGATGTAGTTGAATGTATTGATTTAACAAGAAAGAATTCTTGTTTGAGACGAGCATTTTCTTCACGTAGCTCATCTATTTCATGTCTTAAATGTGGAGTTTTTATTTGAAGTACATTAGTTATTGTTACAGAAAGTCCTGCATATCGTAATATATTTATTGTCTCATCAATAACAGTTGATGATAGACTAATTGTTGCTAACATATATGTTTTAGCATTGCACCACCAAGACTATTTTGTAATAAATATGTTAAACTTGAATCACCATATGGTATATGATATTGTTGATGAGATAAAAGGCATCGATTACATTTCGAAGAGTAGATAATAATCGATGGATATGAATACTTTCCTACATTTGAGAAAGGAATCATTGTTGGAATGTACATATCTTGTATATCATTCAAAGACTATTAAATATAAATAGACTTAGTCATACGATTCGTTCTGCACGCGATAACAAAAATCTTCAGTTTATACCGACGTCTTTCTTTTACTCGCTCTCTCTGTTTCACAACATGTAATTTAATAGCTCAATTTTTTTACTTTGGAGCTTAATAACTAGTTGTCTTCTCTCCGTAAGTCGATTAGTGTAGTTTATATTATTTCTCGAGATGTCTAATTGTCTCTCTCTCTTTATAAATATGATCTAATCAATTTAGGGCATGACATGTTTTATCGATTAAAACAATAAATAAAAATACTAATGACATTAAAATGGCTAGAATAATACATATAAGTACTAGAATATCGACAAGAATAAAGCATGATTGGTTAATTAAGATTGAAGTATTAGAATCTTTTAATAGAGAAACATAGAAAGTTGTTGTGTTCATCGTTGAAATGATGAAAAAGAAAGGAAGAAAAAAAGAAAAAAAATATATAATGAAGAATTATCAATGTGAAAGATTTTTTTCAAATTAACAATTATTTTAGTTTAGATATTACGCATAATGAGAAACAGACTTTTTTTCTTGCTAAATACTACAAATCTAATATTATCTGCAAGTGGAAAATTTTGTTATTGTATATTTATAGAAGATTGCATATTATTGTAAGAAAAGAATAACAATTATGCTTTGAAGAGATAGCGTACCCAAGTCTTGTCAATAAAAAATTTAAGCTTACATAGTAGTATATGAATTTAAATAAGAAGCAAGATAATGTATCATGGGAAATTCATTGTTGATGACTGTCCGGCCATCGATATTTACTAATTTGAAATATTCTAATTGATTAGAATTAAATAATTATTACACTCGTAGTATAATAGAAATCCATAAGTAAAAAATATTTTGATTGATCTTTAGTTTCATTATTTCAACAAGTGAGTGACGTTTTATATTTTCACTTTCGTCATATTTTAGAAATTTATCTTATATAAAATACTTTATGCGACGGTGTCACAAAGTAAAAACAAAACTTTCTGCAATTTTTCTTTTTCTCTAAAATACGTCAATCCTCTGTGGGTATATTCACATGACGAAAAGAAAAGAAAAAAATATTATATAAAACAGTATATGCAACTTATCTCTCCCACAAGATCTAAACGAAAATGACAAAGTAGGTGTGATCATAGTGTAAGTATAACTGTCAGTGAAATATGGTACGAATTAGTTTTTACCACCCACTTATCCTCATCTACCCAAACTTCAAAAATGGGGTTTATAAATAAATAGAGGTGTTATATTATTACGTTCTTTATCAAATGTACGCATATTTCAAATAAAAGATTTTAGTTACAAATCAATGAAAACAATATACTCGGTAATATGCACATGGATATAGTTCTTTTACAAATCTATTCATTTCATATCTAGTTAGTTTCTAACAATTTTTAGAAATAACTCAATATATTCTAATATTCAGTTAGACATAGAAAGCATGTAGTTTATTAAGAAAATCACTCTTGACATGTACAACATCAAATATTTAATATTAAAAACAATAAAACTTCAGTGAATATGATTATATAAGAATAAAATAATTTTTCATAAAAATTCAAAATATATTATGAACTTAAGAAAAAAAAGATTTGTTTGTGAAATTGTTACGAATTAGTCGATTGTTTTGTTTGTTGTGCCCAAATAAAATAAAATAAGCAATGCAGGCATAGTATTGTTAGCTGAATAAATAAAACGATTATAGAATTTGTAGCAGGTTCAGTTCATTGACTAGACAAAAAGCAAATGAATTATAAATATATTGAAAGCATGAGAAAGAGATTAATGAATAAATAAAACCAAAAATTAATTGTTAATAAAAATCATAATGAAACAAAATAATAATACTAATAATTTTGAATTTAAATTACGGGTTGCAAATGAATAAGTTGTTGACGGAGGGCTCGTAGTTCTTGCTGATGATAATTTTGTTATTGTATTAGTTGAATTACTCTTTTGTGATGTTGTGACAACTGTTGATGTTGAAACTGTTGTTGATGGTGTGACTATTGCTGATGTTGAAACTATTGTTGATGATGTACCTATTGCTGTTGTTGAAACTTTTGTTGAGGTTGAAACTGTTGTTGATGGTGTGACTATTGCTGATGTCGAAACTATTGTTGATGATATACCTATTGCTGTTGTTGAAACTGTTGGTGATGGTGTAACAATTGGTGATGTTGAAACTGTTGTTGATGGTGTAACTATCGCTGACGATGAAACTTTTGTTGATGGTGTAACTATTGGTGATGATGTGGCTATTACTGACGTTAATCCTGTTGTTGATGATGTACCTATTGCTGACGCTGAAACTGTTGTTGATGGTGTTATTATTGGTGACGTTGAAACTGTAGCTGATACTGTAACTGAATTTGCGATTGATGTCGAAGCTGATAGTATAGTTGTTGGGTTATCTAATAGTGTAAGAAGATAGAATATAATATTTATTTAAAAAATAGTTGATTCATTAAAGAGAACAAATAACAATATGTTGCGTTTGATAGATATTTCATAATTGATATTTTTAAATAAGTCCTCTTTATAGTTTGTATTTAAATATGATAAATGTCTACAATTATCGATCTCATGTAACAGTATTCTAAAATTTCTAACTAAATGTTTAGTTATGATTTATTTATCTATATGAATACTTTAAATTTTCCAATATAATAGCGAATATACAAAATATTATTGAAAAAGAGAAATTCATAATTTCGTTTGTGTTTCACGTCGATTACAATTCCAACATAGTTACAATTTTACTTCTCTTTACTTTTTAGTACTAACAAAATTACAATTTTCTTTTTAGTTGAGTTATTAATAAAATCTAATATTAAGATGGAGAATAAAATTTTTGTAATAAAGATTTTTCAAAGAATTCTGTCTTATCTAAAAGATCCTAAACTGAATTTTTATTTGAGCTGATAATCTAATTCTTATGTTTTCTCATACTATATGTTTCTATACGAAATGCATGAATTTTTTAATCAATTTAAGTTTAAGATAAGCTAATTGAACAACTGTCATTGCATTGTTGAGTATGATAATATTAAATAGAATAGAAGAAACTCAAAACTTCTTATTGAAATATATTTTTTTATTATAAAAATATTAAAGAGAAGTTTTCATCCGAGGCAGAAAAGAATATTTAATTAAATATTAAAAGTGCTTCATTACCATTATTTTATTACTTTTTCTTTTTTCAGTTTAATGTATATACATTAAACTGAAAAAAGAAAAAGTAAT